TCACTTTCGAAATTCCAGCTTGTCAAGGAAGGAAAAGTTTGTGCAGTTGCAAGTATTTGATCCAGTATCAATCTTAGGACACTAGACAAATTTTTCGTTTTCTTCAGATGATTACTTGACCTTTCCTAATCGCACCTGATTTTCGCTGATTTCATTTGAAAGAGTAAGTAATGTTTTGCGATTGTATATAAGACAGTATGTAACAATGAAAAATCTGAGAGGAAGAGATGTCAGACACGGCTACTCATAAAATGCATTTTTGATACTGCATTCTGACTGGAAGGGCGATAGCACTGATGTAGTGGAACGACCAATGATAACCCTGTGAAATACTGATTATTAATCACTCTCTGGCACGTGGTCTCCAATTGAAGCCAGTTTTCCCCTTGGGGTGAAGTAACTCAGGGAAGTAGCAAGGAAGGGAGGAACTCTTCAGTCTTTTTATTATGCTGTAAGTTAAGTCCAAGAACGCATGCAAAGCTTTTAATAGAAGAAAACAAATTATAGGAAAAAATGGTTGCTAGTTGAACGCAAGATAATAGGCCAGGCAATGATTAGCTTTTAACGTATGTTCAAAAAACTCTTCGGCGAAAGTTGAGAAAATTGAGTAGTTTTCGACAAATGACTTGATAACGGACGCTTAAATTTGCACTACAATCTTAAGAGGATGAGCTCAAAACCTTGATGGACTAAACCATTTATCAACGCCACTTTATTTGATGTACGTCTCCGCTAAAGAGCTAATAAAAAAAAGCTGTAGATTACCAAGAATGGACGTTTAAAATTCCCACGCGTAGCCAACTGTAAACCTTGGAGCACGCCTAACTATTGGTTATGTGTAGGTAGTCGGTGGAGATGGATGAAGTAGATTTAAGAAGGCAGAAACAACGATTTCTAGAACACGCAATCTTCTATTTCTCCTTTGCCTTTCCATCCAGAATTGAGTCGCTTGACCTTTGTAGCTCTGGAGTTGAGCCCTACCCTTCCCAGTGGTTAGCCCGCACTAGCTTTTAGGCCACCGCAGGACAAAGAAGGGATCAATTATAAGTCATTAAAGACTACCGAACTTGTATAATGTGGCCCACTCTGACCGCTGGGTTTACCAAGAGAACGAAAAAGAAAGAATTTTGTAGAAGCCTAGGAAGAGAGAGTCTAAGTGTTTAAAAACGGGCATTGCTCTTCCTGATCACTAACTGTCTAAGCGCGTGACGCTCGGGCTGAACATTGGGTTTTCAAAAGAGCTGGAAAAATGAAGTGTGGGAATTTGCCGCTTCTCCAAAATGTGTCGTTTACACTGCCGGAAATGAACTTCTGAATAACGAAAATTGCTGATATATAACATTCTGTGACCAATTGAAGTTCCATGAAAGCTTTCAGATTGACGTATTTATTCAAATGTGAGAGTAGATTTTGACATTCTGGATCACGTAATTAATTATAGTATTTTTGTAAAGAGCATCACTTTTTGAAAACGCCAATAGAAAATTAGTTTTCTGTCAAAAAACTAGCCTTGTTTTTTTTTTGAAATAAGGATGTTAAAGTTAGAAATTGAATGAGATTTAAGAAGATTGCGTTTATTAACTATAATTGCACAACATTTTTGAAAGCTTCTGACAAATAAGTAAGCAGTTAAGGGATTCTAAATGTTTTTTCATATAGTGTCTTGGTTCAGTAACTACTTAGAAGTAGAAAGAACAGTGAAAGTTTAGAAGAGTCTTGACAAACATCTTCGCAATTTCAATTGCTTGAGCAGAAACATTAGAGTATATGCTGCTAGCACTTGACTGCCTTATCCAGCTTTTTCTTCACTAATTATAACTTTATGTTAAAACCTTTAAGCGAATTTTATTCGCCACAGTTCTGCTGCATTTTTCTGCCAATTCTATCTCGATATCCTCTTATAGCGATGTCTTCTGCAATGAAGTTCTGCTACTACACTAAGAATCCAGTGCGCAAAACCTTATCGTCCAGCATGTAAGTTGTTGAGATTACGATATAAATACCTTGTATCAACTATCCGTCCTAGGTCCATCTCTGATAATCATCTGGAAGAATTCAAAAGGCGCTTCAGGCGTAGTGGTTCTCTCGGAATTCCATTCGTCATGGAAGAAGATATTCGCGAATTATTTTCAAAAAAGGTATCAAACATGGCTAGCACTTTGTGATTTTTCTGCCAAAGGATAATCAAGATAGCGTTTTGTTTTCAAAGAGAGGACAACGACGTGCTTTGTCAGGAAAATGAGAATTCTTAAGATATTAGCCGCAAAACTTGATGTTGATTTCTTCGTATCACATCGCTTATCGGATGTGTCTCTGGGCTTATCGTATGAATTACCAGTTTGGTAGTACATCATACTAGTATTGTGAAAAGGCCAGGCTAAGTTCAAGAAGAATACTAGTTGTGATAATGGTTTTAACGAGATAATCTCCAACAAAATTTGCGCATGTTGTTATGCTAATTACTATTAAAAGCTTTTAATCCATTCTTTGATCCAAAACCGTCTAAACCTATCTAATTGTGAAAGTCTTCAATTAGTTTTAGAGCGAAGAAATGATCATCGAGGACGAAGATGGGCAGCCCATATTGACGGTGATTGTGAAATGTCCACGTGCAGCCGACGGCGTGTCCCAAATGATTTCGAAGCTACCGGTAACTTCATAGAGATTTTGACTTTGTTATGAAATGTATGATTTTAATGAGAACTGACTGGACATTCGCGTCCACAGTTAGAATCTGTACTGCTAATGTAAAGACGATTTCCTCTTCAACTTTACAATATACTATAATTTGCTA